CGTCCCCCTCCAGAACACCCACCCTCCCCCCTCAGATGGCTTATTTATGGCGTGAGGACGCACCTACCGGGAGGGGGAGCTACTGTAACATGTATGCTTTGTTTTCTGTGTGTTTTTGGTTCTGCCCAGTCTGTTTAAATAATCATTCTGTTCACATGTTGTCTGATTATCTCATTAGTTCCCCTTTGTTTGGTTCTTGCTTATAAACCCTCAGTTCTCCTTTAGTCTTTGTCCGTTCTATACTTTGTGGTTTTGTGATTTTTTTTTATTATTTTTTTTGTTATTGTTTAAACTGTTATTGTTTATCTATTAAAGACTTTGTATATGTTGTGCTACATGTATCAGACAATTAGATCTTCATTATGGAAAAATCCAAATATAGTGCAAATTGAATTTAGTGCACTCAGGGTCTCTTATATTTCATATCGAACAGAGTGATAATTTCTTCTAGTTCGTTATTATGTAATATTTCCCTTCAGAACATTGTGGCTGTGTTGATGTGTAGTTTATTTGATTTTCTGCAGCCCAGTCATGTAAAATGGTCAAATCTGTCCACAGGTTCAAGTTTATATGTCTAACTTTACCTTTAATTGTATAGCGCTTTATACAATACTGGTTGTATCAAAGCAGCTTTACAGTGTTAAATAGGAAAATGGATTGTCAATAATGCAAGAAGACAATAACAGTCATTTTTTCCAGCTAAAGTCAGTTCAGTGATATCATCATCCAGTTCAGCTCTCTTCCGACAGTGTATATATATATATATATATATATATATATATGATCCCTTGTATATGTCATATATATTCCAAAAGTTTGGAATAATGATTTAAACCATGATTAAATTGGTTGTAAGCAAACAAATAAATTAAAACTAAATTAAAATAAAATACATTTAATCAAGTTAAGTGAACATCTATAGATATCCCCTGATGAGTGAGTAAGGAGCAGTGAACACTAAGGACCCTGTGAATCAGAATGCAGCTTGTGTTTCTGGGACTGAGAGAGAAAGAAAGACTGGAAACTTGAACCTGTGGACAGATAGTCAATTTTACACGACTGAGCAACAGAAAATCAAATAAACTACACATCAACACAGCCACAATGCTCTGAAGGGCAATTATTGCATAATAATGAACTAGAAGAAATCATCACTGCAGGATATGAAACATAAGAGACACTGACTGAGTGCACTAAATTCAGTCTGCACTATATTTGGATCCATATTGATGATCTAATTGTCTGATAAATCTAGTATATCATCAGTCACATGAAAACAATGCAGAAATGTAATAATTGTCAAACTATTTGTGTACATTATTTTCTCTGTCACTTATTGACATAAGATTACACTTTACATAGATTTTTTTTTTAATGTAACTTATAACTAACAATACTGTATCTGCTTCCAGGTATTAAGCATGGCAGAGAATCCATCATGACACAGCAGTCCGATGATTGCTCTACAGGGTCGAATTACAGCCAAGCAATATGAGGCTATTTTACAGGACCAGCTGCTCCCAATTATTCAAACACTGCTCCATTATGATGATCCCGTATTCCAGGATGATAATGTCTCCACACACACTGCTACACAAATGCAAAAGCGGGTTCTCGAACAGCAGGATGAAGTCAGATACATTCAAGGGCCTCCCGAATCGCCACATCTAACATTACTAAATCTGAGAAAGTGCTGAGCAGATATCCAGCTGTTAGATTGTAGATGGTAAAATAGTAGATATACTGATACATATAGTATAATTTGTTTGCAAATGCCACTTACTTTATTTTATTTGAAAGTGTGCCAAAATAGGACATTTTGGAGGGTTTCTGAAAGAATAAGTATCAAACAGCTTTTTCAAATAGCTTTTACATATACCAATATCACTTACATTTTCGCTAAGAAAGCAAGGAAGTGGTATGTGGGTAAGTAGTTTGCAAACATACGAAACTGGAATAAAGGTGATTGAGGGTGCAGTACAGTAGCCTAGCATCCCCTAGAGACTGTAGTATGCAACTCCACTAATGACTAGTTTTGCTAGAATAAAACATCTTTGTATTGAACTACAGATACTTTTTTAATATATATTTGAAGACCAGATTTGGCATCTACAGTGGTGTGAAAAAGTCTTCTGATTTCTTATTTTTAATTAGTTTGTCACAATTTAATGTTTCAGATCATCAAACAAA